ATATATATATATATATATATATATATATATATATATATTTTTTTTTGTTGTGTATAACAATTGAGGGGCATGTGTGCAAAAGATCCCATTCACGTCCACACGCAAAAAGCTAACTACAAAGCAATCCCTTTCTTTGCCTCTCTCTTCGCATGAGTTGGCAAGGGAGGGTGCAGGGAACTACAAAGTGAATCACTCCCTAGGGCAACACAGTTAACAGTAAGAACTAAATTGTATTGAATCTCGACATGGAATTTTGACATTTAACAAAAAGCCTGAGTACAAGTATGGACACCTTTATGTTATTGTGCTTTGGAAACTTTTGAAGTAAAAAAATTTGGATTGTAAATATGTAACATTTATGAGGATAAAATATGGATATCTTTCCTGAGGTATCTGTCTATATTTCTAAGATGAGGTATTATTTACACTATTTACATTATTCGGACTATTGTCCTCATCTTTGTCGCCATATTTATTACAACGTTTTGGCCATTGTATGCTCCAGTCTTCTTCAGGTGGTTGGAATGTTGAACTGGACCCTTTATTTCGCTCACTGGAGTAGACTGCTCTAGTTCCATTTGTCATGTCTAAAGAGTGTGAGTTCAATAGTTGGTTAAGGTAGTGGAGAACTTGGAGAGAGAATTAAGCAGGATATAATTGATAACTCATATCCATTAGACATGGCATGTGGAACTAGAACAGTCTACCCCAGTGAGCGAAATTAAAGGGTTCAGTTCAACATTCCAGCCACCTGAAGAAGGCTGGAGTGTACAATGGCCGAATCATTGTAATAAATATGGCGACAAAGATGAGAGCAATAGTCCAAATAATGTAAATAGCTTTCCTGAGGTGTTTATAAAATGTATACTGTTCAATTATTAACACTAGCAACAAACTATTTTAAATTACAAAATTGTACTTAGATTAAATGAAAATTACTTATAATATAATACATATTACTTATAATATATTCCTTCTTGTCAATTTTGATGGCACGGGTACACTAGTAATAATAATAATAATAATAATGATAGAACTGAAAAAATATGTGAAAATTACAAGAATTTTACATATTTTTTCAGGCAAACAGATCTTCTGCCAAAAACAGATCTTCTACCAAAAAGGGCTCAAATATGTAACTCAAGCTATAATATTCTATGGATCAAGAAATGTTCAAGTGACTTATCTGGTTAGCCAAGTCAAGAGTTTCCATGGAAATTTGATTGTTAGAATTAGCATTTCATTTGTTCAGAAAGTGTATAAATACAAAATCCAATAATAAGTTCAATAAATTTATCAAACATTTGGACCTGATGTACATTTTAACATGAAACTCTTGAGTCAGCTTAAGCTTTTCTTGGTTTTTCATTATTTTTAGTGGATACCCATATTTGAGTAGACACTCCGTTTATTTATTAAACAGTATATTTATTTATTTTTATCTACTCGCCTAAACATTCGAGAAATCTTATTAAAGAAAAAAAAATGAAATCTCTGGCAGGATTCAAACCTGAGACCCTCTGGGCAGAGAGAAACCATCATTAGATCCAACGTGCCTTAACTGACTTGGCCATGATGAAGCTTTGCCGATCAACCAAGGTTTGAACAGTGCCTTTAAGCAAAGTCTTTCTCATCTTAAATTCCTCAAAATTATCATATCTGCTAAGTTTCGTATCGAAACCTAAACAAAGAAATTTTCTAAAGAATAATGGATTTTTTATTTATTAATCCGACAGATTTTTATCACTTGAAATGTGATAAATATGGATACTTGTATTTGAGCAGTCGCTCTGTTTATTTATTAAACAGTATATTTATTTCTTTTCATCTACTGGCCTGAATATTCGTGAAATCTTATTAAAGAGAAATATACTATTATGTCCTGTTGGAGAGTGCATGTTTTTCTAATAAGATTTCTCGAATATTCAGGCTGGTTGATAAAACTAAATAAATATATTGTTTAATAAATAAATGGAGCATCTACTCAAATATGATTACCCACTAAAATAATGTTTAAAGTGATGTTTAAAGTGATATCTGGTAAGTGATAAAATAATAATATATGTATGCTAAGTGATATATATATATATATATATATATATATATATATAATCAACTCTCCCGTCGAGATTCGACGTATGAGGGTCAAGCAGATCAGTTTCCAGGAAACCGACAGCCCGACAACGACACATGAGATTTGATTATAGTGGTGAAGGCCTCGTGCAGGACCATCCACACTTTTTGGAGGGACAAATACAGGGACCTGGTGCACCAAATGCCACAAGGTTCCCAAACGACCCTCCGCAGGTTTTGAATTCAGAGTTGTCCTTCTCCTAGACCAGTTGCCATCCAACGCTATAGAACCCAGTCTGTCCTGCTATTTTACCCATAGCTGGAGGGAGAAGAAGAGGAAGAGGATTCATACCTTTCCCAAGGGTATTAACACGTAAGTGAATGTAATGAGTTCGACTGGAATTCGAACTCGGCTCTGCGATTCCTCAATCCAATATATATATATATGTATACCATTCTGTTGGCTTCTCATTCATACTTTATACACACACACAAACACACACATACATCTTCTCTCTTCTTAATTCCTGTTCTTTTATCATTCTCTCTCCTTAATAATTGTAGGCAAGGATTATGGCAACATTCACCAACTTAAACAAGGAGACCATCCAGAAGAGTTGCAGGAGATTCCAAAGTCATCTGGAGGCCATGGTTGAAGCCAATGGCGATTTTATTGAATAATTTTATCCTTTTGTATGCCAAGATATTTTTGGTATAATTTTGATAAATATATCTGTTAAATTTAAATGTCAGTGTGATTTTCATTGATTTCGTCATTTAGACGACAATTTATCCATCGCACTCTGTATGTCTACAGAAGTAATGGATTTTCTATTTATTAATCCGACAGATTTTTATTACTTGAAATGTTATTTTAGTGGATACTCATATTCGAGTAGATGCTCCATTTATTTATTAAACAGTATATTTATTTATTTTTGTCTACTGGCCTGAATATTTGAGAAATCTTATTAAAGAAAAATTACATTTTCCAGCAGAATTTGAAGTTGCATTCCCCTGAGCAGAGGGAATTGTCATTAGATCTGATGTGCTTTAACTTACTCAGCTGCAAAAATCTTTTGCTATTCAAGTATGGGTGAATATTGTCTTTAAGCAAAATCCCTCTCATCATCATCATGGATTGGCTTCGCAAAACGAAGCTCAAGACAGAGTCTGTACACATTGTTTGCAGGCATGTTTGTGATTGATAAATCTAATGCAGGACAGGCATACATAGTCGCAGTAGTTGTAGTTGAAAATCTGACCTGGGCTCAATGGCATAGCATTGCAGTACTTCCTTCTCTGCCTTTTGTCCCTGAGAGTGGCCCTGCAGGTATTTTCAAAGAATGAGACAGCCTGGATGGTGGTGAAATGCCAGGCATCATGGTTCTTAGCTAAGTTTAGTTTGGTTTAGTTTGATTTACAGTATATCAACCTCAATGATTTATTTAATACTGACAAAATTTTTATTGCAGGTAAAATTTTGTTTTGTCAAAAATCTATTTCTGATAATATTTTTTCCTTCAAAATTCTATTTCTGGTAATATTTTTCCTTCAAAAATGTATTGCTGGTAATAATTATTTTTTTCCAAAAATGTATTGCTGGTAATAATTGTTTTTTTCAAAAAATATTGCTGGTAATATTTTTTCCTCAAAAATGTATACCTGGTTATTATTTTTATTTCAAAAATATATTGCTGGAAAATTTTTTTTTCAAAAATGTATTGTTGGTAATATTTAAAAAAAAAAATTGTTTTGCTGGTAATAGTTTTTTTTCTTCAAAATTTATTGCTGGTAATAATTTTTTATCAATTATTTCTGGTATTAAAACCTATTATTACACTTTCATAGTGTTTTTAGCCTAGTTTGGGCGTTAACTATTTACCCATAGCTGGGACCCTAACAGGTACCACCACTTCAGGTCAGGCTGGACCTGGGAACACCAGCAATTAAGAGGTGGTTCCATGATCCTCAAAACCTTCCGATCAGAGGCCTTGCTGCTGGACGTAGTTTATCATCATATCCAAGACGGTCTCAGCTAGGGTTGACCATTGGAAATGGCTGATATGACAAGCAACAATGGATTTTTTCAGGCAATCTTTGAATCATTTCTTTGGTGCCCCTCTTCCACCATATCCAGTGGGAAGCTCACTGTACAATAAAATTTTAGACAGGCAATGAGTCTCCATCCTGGAAACATGTCCATCCCAGTGCAACTGGGACTTCAGCAACATGGCCTCAATGCCTTTTCAAGAATTTCAGTATTGTAGGCAAAGTCACTCCAATGGATATTAAGGATTGTGTGGAGACAGCACTGGTGGAACCGTTCGAGGAGTCGCAAGTCGTGTTGGTAAGTGACCCATGGCTCTGAGCCATATAGGATGGTGGTGAGGACAGTAGCTCTATACATTCTGATCTTAGTACCCTTCTTCAGGCATTTGTTGTACCACACACGTTCATAGATTATTGAAATTTTCATATCTGCTCATTTTCATATCCAAACTTAAACAAAGCAATTTCTAAAGTCATGGATTTTTTATTTATTAATCCAACAGAGAAATTAATCTGACAAAGGGGACGCAGGTTCAAGTCCAGGTGGAGGGTACATATTTTTCTTTAATAATGTTTCTCAAATATTCATGCAAAAATAAATAATTATACTTTTTAATAAATAAATGGAACATCACCTCCCAAAAAAAAAAAAACATTTACATGCATAAAAATAACATTTAAAGTGATAAAATCTGTTGGATTAATAAATAAAAAAAATCTATTAGTTTAGACAGATGTGTATATAGGTAGAAATATATAGAGAGACAAGGGTACCTCAAGGCGGTGTGACGGTTAACAAGCTTATCTCGCTAGAACAATTAACAGACAGACAGAGACTTGTTTATAAAGGTTGAAGTATATTGAGATATAAAAAG